TTAAAATCTTAAAGGCAACTAAACTTCAAAAGAAGACCATCCCTTATCAATCATTTGTAACGTTTCGAATACTAAAGATTTTTCCCCTTCAAAGTGTTATACAATTCTAATCAAATTAAAAACTGTCTTTTTCAACACATTCATAAAGAGCCCCTTTTTTTTTCTGTCAATTCTGCAAAGTTGGGGTCTCATTAATACCTAAAATACCAACGCTATAGCCGCCCCCATAAAAAGATCCCCGTTTACATTAAAATGCAAATAATAAAAAATTGTTGGTAGTTTAGTTCGATTAAGGTTTTTTTTTTCCTACTCTGAAGTTTGTCCCACAGAAGGGTTTTTTTTAAAACATCGCGTCCATTTGTGCTCAATGCTTCAAGAACAAAAGAACAAAAATCACTTCTGCTTAAATCAGAACCATTGGGTACCATGTTCTACGGAAAGTTCTCCTTCGTTCTCTTCACCGTATCGATTTTCTTGCTGTGTTATCAGAATATGGCACAGGTAGGTTTGTCTTTTATAGACATCAGTCATAAGCCTAAAATCCGAGAAGTTGACTATCGTCTGCAAAAATTACGACCATTTCATCTGCAAAATCAAAATTGGGATCATCGATTTTATTGTATCATTAGGTTTTTTTTTTCCTTTTTTTTTTTCATCTAAGGTACCTGATAACTACAAAGCAGTTTGGACTAAACGACGACTTCTTAGAAGCGTTGTTGACGCTTTAGTAAGTCAATGGCCTTAATTTTACGATTATTACCTTCTATCGCTTGGATCGTTCTTTGTCCAACTTTTAAAAGTAACTTAACGTCCTCTTTTGAGGATTATGTACACTTGATGAAGTTATTTGTAAGCTGTTTTCTCCTTCATTTTCTCTGATGAGATGTAATTTTCAAACCCGATGCGACTTTTTATTGGTAGTATCTGTATGTACTCTTGTAACTCCTATGACTCATATTTATTAGTTGTAATGCGGTTACAAAAACTGCATAATTATAAATATTAAAATTATAGGTCTTATTTAGTCTTCCGAGTGCATCAATTCTCAAGCAATTCTCACCCATGCTTTAAAAGTATTCAATTGCTTTTACCTTCATAGTCTCCTCCATGGAACCGGCATATGCCCGTTAGCTACAGCAGTGCGTTGTCCAAACGGGGACATTCAGTTGAGGTATTAGTCAAACCCTTTCACAATTCACTTTATTATCATTTATCGTCATCAAAATCGCCAAGATCATATCGTCAACGTCATTACTGTTTCATTCCAAAAACATCCATTTTCAAATAATTAGTGAACTTTGCAATCAGATTGGCTCTCAAGGGTGTGACTTATTCACGAATCGCACTAATTTTTGCCCTAAATCCCATCTTTTCCTACCAATTGAGGAGGCAACACAAAACCGAATTAAACAAGCCATGAGACTTCATGGCCTCTGAAAAGTAACCAATGAAATTGCAAGAAAAAGAAAGACAAAGAAGCTATGATGTGGGGAATTTGAAACGTTTGTTCCAAAAACTTTGGCTTTTCAATTTTCTTAAATAAGCTTTTTCGGTTCTGTTGTGTTGAAAATCATTAGTATGATTCCAGACCAAAATGCCCTTCAGTCATTAATATTACCATTGCTTCAGCTATTTTTTTTTTAGTCTGGAAGCTAGGACCACCCGCGTTTGGGGAGAGTTTTCACTCTGAGAGATGCTTTTTATGCTAATCGTTAGTTGCTTTATGATCAGTCGGTTCCTTGTTGAAATCATACTTAGGTATTACATTGTATCAGTGAACAAAGTACAGCTGCTCCTGAAATAAACAATAAAGGGGACCCCGCTTTTAAAACTCAATGAAGGTTCCTGTATGAAAACCACCAATTGGTAAAGTTTAACAAAACTCTCAATACATGTTTTATTTAAAAGGAATGACCTTCATCACTGGATCGAATGACACTGGATTGTTTATTATGATTAACTTTATATCTCCATTCATCAGGCTTTAGAGAGAGAGAGAACTGTTTTGACATAGATGATTAAGCAAAAGGTGAAGAAATGCCACCATGCAAGTTGCTCACAAGTAGTATCTCCCAGAGAGAATGAACCAACTGAAAGATTAATAAAAAATATATATAAACTTCTTTTACTCTTTTGTTATCTTTGACTTGGAAATTAATAAACCAGTCCAGGGGACTTCCTCATCCATTGCCTCTTTCAAAAAGTAAAAATTTTCATTTATTCAACACTTCCAGAATTGATGATGATATGAAAATTTAATTATAAAAGTATACTTTAAGCTCAAAAGAAGACACCCGTTTATCGTTTCAAAACACGCAGGATTTGTTCTCTTCAAGGCGCCATGAAATTCATATCAGAGTAAAAACTGCTTTTTAAAGATTCTCAAAACAACCATTTTCTGTTTTGTTTCATTGTTTGAATTTTTCAACGTTGGGGTCTGAGTGGTATCTGATAAATTGGCGCCATAATCTCAATTTGATCCCTCCTCCTCCCCCCAACAAAAAACAAGGTCACTTCACGTCAAAATACAAATTGATCAAAACATAATTCACAGAGCAGCTTCACTTAGGTTATTTTTTCTTTTCTTTTTAATTTTTCCCATTTGGAATTGTGTCACAACAAACCGCCTTTTTGTCAGACTTCCTCCTCTAATGTAAGCTCAGTGACTTAGTTATTTATCCGTTTATCTCGTATTTACGATAACGCAATTTCAACTCTGACAAAGTTAAAATTCAGAGGCATCATGTTTTGCGGAAAATTTTATTTCTTTCTCTTAGCATTATGTATTTTCTTGCTATTTCATCAGACAACGCCACAAAGGCTAAAACAGGTAAGCTTTATTTTTCATGATCAGCTACATAGCCTTGGCAAAGTCATAATATATGTTTTACGAATTCAAATATTATTGACTGCTTGATGGAAAGAACTTCTTTATCTTCACTTTCGTTTAGAACAAAAATAAAGACGCATTGCATAACTTGATCATCATCATGTTAAGCTTCTAGCGGCAGCAGCATCATTATCCTCTTTCACTGCAGGTACCAGAAGGTTTTACAGCAACCAAGACCAAGAGAGGAATCTTTAAAAAGATATCTGGCCTAATGTTACGTGATCAGCTTCAATTCCGCCTTGATTACTTGATGATAGCTTTGCTATTGGAATAGCCTTAGTCTTCCCTACTGAAATAAGTGGCTCACTGGGCCAACTCAAGGTGGAGGGTTTCGACGCTTCGTTAAGAATGGTAATATAAGAACCATTTTCGACTCTTTGCAAGAAAATCAATAGTATTGTTAAGGGACAAGTGGTTTAAGATCTCATATGATCAATTTTCCTAGAGGATTTTCTGAATATCTATCATTTCAAGGAGATTCATTATAAGCAGTGGTAGGATTTACTTGCATAAGTTGAGACCTCTCGTCTAAGGTAACGGGCGATGACATCATCGCATAGACGCTTCTCTGTTGTCAATAGGTGAAGAGAGACAAGACAGAAGCAAGACCCGACAGATATCACAGTCGACGATGAACGAAACACTGTTTGTACTAATGTTATGAAGAGTAAAAGATGCATATGTCGCTTGGTTGTTATAAAATGTAGCCAAACTTTATTGAAATAAAGGCATCCCTGAAAATCTGTGGTTACGTTTTGCATTGTAATATTTCTAGTAAGCAGAGCAAACAATGAATGTGAGCTATTAAATTAAGAGGATTCATATATATGTTTAATGGCTGTTTTAAGGATTAAAAAAGGATAATTTTGCGATAAGCGTGGAGTAAATTATCAAAAAGTAAAAATTGACACAAAATTAACATGTTATAGAAAGGAAAGAGAAAAGTTAAATCTTGACAAAAACCTGCTGGGCTTCTACTTACGCCGACGACCTCCACACAATGAAAACCAAACAGAAGTCAGAACAGTAGATTCTAACAAATTAAAAGTCAACCAAACCCTGCAGGGTATCTACTTAAGCTGACAACATCTACACAATGAAAACCAAACAGAAGTCAGAACAGTAGATTCTAACAAATTAAAAGTCAACCAAACCCTGCAGGGTATCTACTTAAGCCGACAACATTCACACAATGAAGACCAAACAGAAGTCAGATAAGTATTTTCTAACAAATTAAAAGTCAACCAGAACCTGCAGGATATCTAATTAGCCCAACAACATCCGTACAATGAAAACCAAACAGAAGTCAGAACAGTAGATTCTATCATATTAAAAGAAAAAAAAAACCTGCAGGGTATCTATTCAAGCCGACAACATCTACACAATGAAAACCAAACAGAAGTCAGAACAGTAGATTCCAATAAATTAAAAGTCAACCAAACCCTGCAGGGCTTCTACTCAAGCCGACAACATCCACACAATGAAAACCAGACAGAAGTCAGAACAATAGATTCCAAAAAATTAAAAATCAGCCAATCAAGGTTGTTGAAAAACAATGAAATCACGACCTACTCGTTGAACGCGAACACAGTTTTGTCACAACGTTGCTGGATGTGTCAAGGTCAAATCGCTAGTTTCTCAATACTTCAGCATGTTTTAGGGTGCAGGGGCACCAATGAGAGGAACTACATATCTCATTCAGTTTGTATTGAGCAGCTTGCTGACAAGGAAATGAATGAAAACAAAGTTGTGGAACCCACTCATAGATCTATATCAGTCAGAGTCCTGCTGGCTTTGCATCGTCGTATATAAAAAACGCAACCCCCTCTCGAAAATTCTGTCCGTGTGGCCTTGTTTCAATGCATACCCAAAACTTCTTAAGTTGCACAGTCAGCTATCATAGTTTTATTTACTGAGTTAAAAGGCCTTTTCTAACAAAATTATATTAGAGTTAGCAAATGAATGATATCAGTTAAAAACGTATAGAATATTCTCACAAAGGGAACCTTCAATATCTCTGTTTCATCATCGATAGTTAAATTAGTTTGTCCCTCCTCAACAAATGACTGAACAGAATCAGAGAAATTTAATTTAAAGATCCTCGCACATAGATAACTTTATTTCAGAGACCTTCTCTATCCAGTCTTAACTTATCGTGCACTAACAGTTTTTAAAACTGCTTCAAGACAGCATACGTTTCACAGAAAAACTTCGACTGTCTCTTTCGCATTTGCGTTAGAGGCATCATGTTCCGCCGTGCGATTTCTTTCAATTATTTTGCGTTATTCATTCTTCTTGCAGTTTTTCAAGTCACATCGACGCAGAAGTTGCAGGTACGACTTTTCATTGTTTCGCGAGCGCCAAAATCATCTTGATTCAACTTATTTGAGTTCCGTAAAAGGACCGTGTGATCTAAGCTTTGAATGCAGATCATTCTGATCTAAATATCTCATTTTATTTTCTTCTTTAATTTTTTTATTGACAAGAGGGGAGATACAGTGGAAACCGAACAGGCCACGACTGACAGGTAAGTAGGAGCAGAAGCCTTCTGAACGTGATCAGACTCGTATATCAATCAAATAATGTTTGGTTACTGCAAACCAAAACCTTAAAGAAGTTAACGTTGGGTAGGACAAGTGGCATATGAAGGCTACAACCTCCTTTCAGTCAGCAGTGAAAACCAGCTAATGTTTCCAGAAGACATACCATTTTTAGACGCCCGAAGGATCTTGCAGCCACTGGTTGTTATGGGAAGTTTCCTTTCGTTGAAAATTTTTATGCCTTCAAAGGAGAAAAGTTAGGATTTTTCTCTTATTCCTGCGACACATAAAAGAAAAAATTGCCACTTGAAAGAGAATTCAAATAATCAGCTGGGTTCTATGCGAAATAAAGCAGAGGAGGTAAAATTAATCAATATAGGAAACCTTGATGGGTAAAGATTGAGGGACCGGATTACAGGTAAAACTCATACTTCCGGAATCACTGCACATTCACAACATAAAGAGTTTCTGTAAAAGCCCAAAGTGTGGTGTCGATTGTAAATAGGCCCTAAAATCAGTGTTCATCATGTATTGTGAACTTGTGATCGCCTTTCATTACGTAATGTTATGCAGCGGCAGTATAAATATGTAATTAGTTGTCTATGTTTTTTGGGTTAGGTTAAGTTAAGTAAGTTAGCAGTTGTGTATCTAGCAATTAAAGCTCCTTCACGTTCTTTAAAAACGTTGTTCTCTGCTCAAACACAACACAAAGTAACCTGACAGGTCACACAACACAGTCTGACTGAGATCAGGAAACCAGAATTAAGTACCACGACCAATCACAAGGAGCCAGTTAGAACACAGAATCAAAACAAGGAAACGCTTTGAAGCGTGGAAAAACTCAAGTGATCAAGTCGCATTTGGTTTAAGTTTTACACCTGATAGAGTAGTAGTAGGCGCAAGTTTTCTGGACCAATCACAGATCATATATCGAAATGAAGCAGTAAACGAATCAAGAAATACTTGATAGCATTCGAAATTCAGCGATAAATGCTCTATATTTCTAACTATTCAAATAGTTAAAACTCAAATAGAAATGTCTTTCTTGAGTATCATCAAAACTTTGTTCTACTCAACTACCCATTTCAGGGACGCAACATCTTCTAAGTCTGATCAAACCGTCGGTACAGAGGTAAGCAATTAATTGTTTTTCGGTATTTGTCACTGCTCCTGTCAACCAGCCATTAAAGCGCAGGAAATAAGTTGTTTTATCATATCTGCTTCATAATATTTGCTATGACCCAGCGTTTTTTGGATTCTTCGATTTTCCTCCAATCAAAGAACTAATAGAAAGCCCCCACCCCCCTCCCCCTCGAGGATTCAGACGTCAGGTTCTGAGAGTTAACGATGAGTTGCTCTGGGAGCTAAATTTCAAAGAGGTCTTACGTGAGCTACGTTCGGCTAAGCCGTAAACTAAATTCATGTGTGACAAGTGTTTGGCATACTGTTGGGATCAATATTAGTTGAAAGGCTCTGTGACGAAAAAAGGACGAACTCTCCCCAACATCAGTATGCATTTTCTCCACTCTGTTCCCCTAGGGTGCTGACGAGAAGAATTTGATCAACAATCAGGAACTCCTTTAGTTGGTGATCATTTCTTGTATTCTCATAACTTAATGTGCTATTGAGGGGTGATACTGTTAGGAGAAATTAGTTGCTGGTCATTCTTGAGGGTCAAAGGACTAAGAAAGATACTAAGATCTCATGATTTAAGTTCTCGTTATCTGTCTCGATATTTTCTCCAATTCTTCTTCATTTTTCAAAAAACGATCAGTAAGAAGTTTATTTCCATTTCTCTTGATTTGTATCAACAGCAAATACGAGTTGGTGATTATCACTACCTTTACGGCTAGGTATGTACCATAATCACAAAATAATCGAGTGTATCTTTATGTGTGAACAGTTTTTTTTTTTTACACAAAATGATACTGATACCTTCAGGTTTTTTTTTTTATGCTAGAGAACATTCCCAGTCAGAATATATTAAAGATTCACTTTTTTTAGAAGAAGTACCATCGTTATTGCTTTAAATTAATTTGCAGCCAAGCAGCCAGCTATGTCTATCCTGGCGTGCTGTGGCACGGCACTTCCGATGTTGTATTTTTGATCATCGGCATCCATTCTTCTGTAATTTCTATGGTACTGTTCCAAGTCTTATACAAATCGCCTGAATGGGTCTCGCAGTATAAATTTGAAACGCGACGAAATTAATGCATTGTGACACAAACGATTGTATCTCATATAGAAAATGTATAAACCCACGATGACAATCCGTAACCCCGTTTTTGCCGAAACATGTAAGAAACTTTAATTTGTCAAACTGTTTGTCATCACCAGCAAATATTCCGGACGAGATATAATGCAGTCGCATTGCATCTTGTTCAGATAGTACGTCATTACCAGAAAATGTTCCAGTTTGACTGCATGACAGAAATAATTTTTGTAAATTTTGAGCATGAATGATTCAGTGCCTTAATGACCCCAACGTCTCAGCACGAAACTGTGCTTAAAACACATTCCGTACGAAAAGAGTTGAAGCAAAATTACCGGAATTCTCGCTAAAAATGAAATTTTAATTAGGTTGAAACAGGAATTTTATCATCCTTGAATGCTCTGATCAAGCCTACTATCATCATTAATTATTATCACTGTTAGTGGTTATAATGTCATCATTGTTATTATGGTTATACTAAATACTGTAAATGTGAACTGCGGATAGTGAAATGAATATGGAAGCGATCTTCGCAGTAATGAACACCAAACTTAAGTAGTAGTGACAAAAATAGGCCTGAAAAAAATTCAGGCCTGTAGGGATTTGAACTTATGACCCGTGCGATACCGGTGCAGTGCTCTACCAACTGATCGCTTCCATATTCATTTCTTAATCTACAATATATTTGGAACCAACGTAATGACCAGCTCCCAGTGGGCTTGTTATCTCAGCTGGTAGAGCGCGGCACCTTTGGACAGTGCACTGACCACTGGACTACTGAACAAAGCCGAGGCGTTGGCGTGCCCGCGGTACAGTTGACCACACATGTCAAAAGTAGCACCTTGTACAGTCGTACGGTCGTACATCCAAATTTTTTCGGCTTGATGGGTTACTATTTTGTATAATTATGGGGCTACGCTCTGCGAGCTCCGCTATTATATAGTATTGTTACTATTTACTCATTCCACAGTTTTACTTAAACAAATTAATTTTAAAATTAACATTATCATTATGTTTTAGCGCTCTAAGCAAAGCAAGGTGGCGAAGGAGGCACAAGTTACTTCAATCGTCAACGAGAGACAAGCTTCAGAGGATAGATTTGAAGTTGCCAGTATACTCTGTTATTTCGACTGTACATGTAGTCTAGGGCACAAATAAAGCATTAATGACAATTTAGTGACAGAAGTTTCTCTTTTTATTATCGATATGCAGTTGTTTTTTTTTTCCTCAAACACAAACGTACAACATCATTAGCATCTCATGACTGAGAGGTACAAGTTCACTGTTTTGGGGGGCAAATAGCACCTTCGGCCGAGCATTCCTCACACGCTTTTTTAGGGACTGAAGAGGGAGAAGGTAAAAAAAAAAAAAAAAAAAAAACCGAGCTGGGAGCTTATGGGTACCAGCGTTGGTACAATGACAGTCCATGATTACCAACTGTTAAACGACAGGGGCAGAAATGACGATTTCATGGCCCCCTACAGATCTACCTTAGAGAATCCTTGCTCACGACAGCTTGTAGCTACAACCGTCAATTATCGGTCATATAACATAATCAAATAAATACAATTTTCATCACCAAGGGTAGAAAATTCAATCAGGAAAAAATTGTATAAAAGATAAAGAAAAGACAGACATCCCACAGCCTAAACTGCAATCAGGTAAAACTATAAGTAATTACAAATCCACCCGAGTATGTGCTTAAAAAGCAATCATTTTTTCCAGTTTTATTACTGCAGTCAGCATGCCAATTACTCAGTCCCTAACAATGCATTCATTGTCAACATCTGGTTCTCACAAGAAAGCTGTTTTTTTTTTTTTAACTAAAAAACTCTGATATAGGCTGAGAGCCGTAGGTTTGTCTGAATTTGGTTCCGAACGACTTCGATATCGGTTAAATCGAGCCAAAGGCCACCATGTTTCGCAATAATGCTTCGGTCAGCTGCTTCACTATAATTCTCCTTTTTCATCCGATATTACCATCTACATTGCAGGTCTGGTACTTACATCTTTTCCTATTGATCTCTTATTTTTTACTGTCTGAAAGAACAACATGTATTCCTTACGGTAATGATATTTTAAACACAATTTTCACAGGGAGAGAAAACATAAAATGACGTCACGAAATTAGTAATTTTACAATACTTGTTAAAAACAATATTTTAATAAATGGCAAGGGTTCTCCAGAAACCAAGGGGCTTATACGATCTGAAGTCAAAATGTGAAGCAGTTTTTTTTTCCAGTACCAAGGAGCTATCTATCTCGAAGAATGTTGAAGTTGTTTGGTCTATCACCACCTGAACTCAGTGTAAAAGTCCGTGACGCAAAGTTCTGAAATGTAAACTTGTTTACCTTTATTTTGTTATCTCGACAAAAAAAGTTAAAACTTGCCTTCCAAGTTACTTTCCTTCTTGAATTTTCATGGCTAGATATTCTTGAATCCCTACTTTTTTTTAAAGAAAGTGAGGGAGGAGGGGGAGGGGGGCGCTTATTTGACATTATAGCCGGAGGGGTGGGCGCTTGTTCCGTGAAGGGCGCTTACTAGAGCGTGGGCGCTTATTCGATCAAATACGTGGCATGTAATCGTCAGCCGGAACGCCCAGGAAAATAATTATGAGATCATCCTCTATCCACTCAACATTTGCTGCATATCATAAAAACGTGCGTTACAATATTATCAATAAGAATAATAGTGAATTATCTAATCATCACAAATGAGATACATATTTTCTAAATACTATGAAAACGTGCCATACAAACTTATCAATACAAGGGATCATTACTAATTATTACAAATGAGATATTTGTACCTCATTGTCACACGAAACACACGCCAGGGACCCCATTGGATCCCAAGCAGGCAGCACTATTGGTTCCTGTTGCAGGACACCCAACACATCATCCGGAACATATTTCTTGTCTATAACAACCTCATAGACATATTCTGAGTACCAGCTGTCCGTCATCATAAGGTAGCCTGGCTTATCTTTCTCATCACCCCAGGAATTCTCCACACGCCATTTCATGGTTTTAATGTCCACTGCAGCACCTTCCTCTACTGGTTTTAAAGGATCTTCAGTGTCTGTAGTTTTGGTGTTTTCCTGAAAATCCAAGGAAAGAACAAATTGTAAAAGGCGATTATATTCCTCCAAGACTTCTTGTAGTTCATTTTTCAGATTTTTCAGTCTTAATTGAGAGCAAGTGTTTTCCCACGCAAACTTTTTACCCTATTTCTCTATCCTTATCATTTCCTCCTTACAATGTCTCTTCTACCTCTTCTCTTGAAAGTACGCCATGCTGCTTTAAAGAAATAAAATTTACCATGGTCACTTTTGTGAGCTATCTTTCTCTCCACACATTTCAACACTTTGTCGACGTGAGGCAAAGAGAGGATTAAAAGTCCAAGAACAGTTTTGTACATAGAGTTCACTGCATCCTTGTTTTGCTCCTCACCGTTGCATGGTTCAGATGTTTAGGAAGTAAAACGGAGTGCTATAGTAGCGACGGACAAAAAAAGACGAAGGGGATTCGGGTCAGGTCGATCGACGAACGTCATATGATCCGACCCAGCCCCGCCGTGTTTTTTCGCTCCGCCGATACTGTCCCGCTGTTTGCTATCGCGCAGCTGTTTTTCTAACTGAAAGCTTGGAACAGACAATCCTCACCTCCCAGGAAAATCCAGTGAACACCATAGCATGGGTCATGAGCGATCCACCATACAGCAAACGCTGAGCTTTGTTTAAATACTTCATGGAAATGCCAAATGTCAACTCATAGCTATGACTGCAGAGGAAAAAAACAGGAAATATACAGTGTCAAGCTTCTAGAGACAGAGAAAGTGACAGAAACCGTGTAACAACGTATAGAAAAAAAAAATAATCAACTTATTGATAAACTTTCTTAATTTATTTATCTTTCTATATATGAAACATGTCGTTTTACTCTCTAACGCCACAAAAACAAACTTTCTAAAAAAGAATGTCACTAATAACTTTGAATATATGAAAATCAATTAAGAAGAATTAATAAAGAGGTGAATACGAAAGCGATATTCACAGTAATGAACACTAATTGAGCAGTAACGGAAATAAAGCCTGAAAAAAGTTCAGTCTTGTACGGGATTTGGACACATGACCTCTGCGATACCGGCGCAGTGCTCTACCAACTGAGCCAACAAGCCAACAATAAACCCATGAAGTGATAAATAAATAACTGAGATTATATGAAAATCATACATGTGAACTGCGGATAAAGAAATAAATATGAAAGCCACGTTGTAAACTTACATGTCCAAATGAAGTGCTCCAATCTTTCTTTCAAAATGTTTGTCAACATCACATCCAAACCAAACTGCCTGAAGAAAAGACAAAGTACTAGTTAATTTCTTCAAAAAGGCAATGAGATTTACTGGAAAGTTGTGTTTGCCAATGCTCTACAAACTATCTTAACTATACCTTTACGTGCACAGTGCTTAAGAGTTCCAAATAAAAAAGTACGAAACTGATAATTAAAAAAAAAAAAATAGCTGGTTCCCAAACCAACAGAAAATTGACTTCCATTGACCAGAATACTTTAATAGCAGTCATGTTGTTCTTCATGTGTGACAACAGCTCACGAAAAAAAAAACCTCTAATAGTCAATTGGTGACTGCTCACAACCTGGGAAACATTTTGCCTTGTAGTCCATTTTTTTCTTTTAATCAGACTTTTTTGCAACAAGGCTGTTCCCTCTGGCATACCAATTTATCCAAACATCTTCTCATGGTAAAGAATCAAACAGCATACTTAATACACTGTACATCAAGGAAATAACTACTTTTCTAAGTTTATTGACTGGCCCTGCAAGAGGGGAAACTGAAATAAATACTGAGTTCCATCTGCCAACCAGAGTGAGTAAACTATCTCACAGCCCACTTTCTGATTGGTTGATGGCACACTCCTAACAAAATTATGCATTAGCCAACTAGTTCATTACAAGGGGAAAAAAAACAACAAAATTCAAAAAGGGCCTGTAAATAAACCAACAGTGGTAACAAGAGGCAGCCCTTGACTTGTGCATTTAGAGAAGGAAACATATCATATCCCTTACCTCGTTGTCCTTAAGAGACGCAGCTGTCAACTTCTTGAGAACTTCCACAGGTTGATTATTGTATAAGACACGCCGTCCATTCACCATATTACTGAGGTACTCTACTGTCAGCAGTTTGTTGTAAGGATTTCGAGGGTCATTCACTAGGCACACCTGTAATACATGTATGTAACAAAGATCAAATCACCTAGTGGTTAAAGCCTAAAATATTGGTAAGATCTCTGGAGGGTCAGTGAGGGTTATCTTGAAGGAACTAAATTAGCACATTCCGTTCATCATGACAAAATGTTGTACAATTTTTTCCGATTTGGTCATTTTCAATCTGTGAAATCCTTTCTCAACTGGTTCTCTTTTAACCCTTTGACTCTCACAAGTGACCAAGACAGAATTTCTCCCGACAATATCAATACAATATCAACCAGATAAGTGACGAGAATAAAGGAAAATATCAATTTGGGGATAATTAGTTGATTCAATACTAAATTCTCTGAACTAACATAACAAGATTGTATGGTTGACAGTAAGGAGAATAACAAATTTGATATGAGGGTAAAAGGGTTAAGTTCATTTGTTAACATTAGGGCCAGTATATCTCCTGTTGCATTGCTAGGGTCTGGGGAAAAATCTTCAATAGAAAGTAATCTTTCCATTTTTATAATCATAAAAGACATTGATTTATTGAAGAAGAAAACAAAATGGTGATAAACACTGATCTGTTATCAAAAGCTAAGAATCAATAATGAAGATCTGAATTATAACAATTAAATAAACAATAAGCTTAGGTTAACCAGTCTGTAACCTAGAAGCTCTATCACAGAACATGATTCATTTAAACTGGACTGTATAGCAATTAACCCTTTACACCCTAACATCAGCATGCATATTCTCCATACTGTTCTCTATACATTTCTGAAGGTGCTGACGAGGAGAATTTGTTTTACAATCTAAAGCATCTTTAGTTGGTGATCATTTTCTTCATTCTCTTGACCTTACTATGTGATTCAGGGGTGATCAATCGGAAGAGCTAAACATATCATTGTCCATATACAAGTGCATTGCATACCTTGTCAAGCGGGTTGTAAACTGGTTTGACATGCTCATTGTAAAATTGAAGCGGAGTTAATCCTGAAAGTTTGCAATATTTTTTACTTTTGTCAATATACTCCCACTCAAAATTCTTGGGTGGAGTGCCAAGGCATATGCTTGTTATCCTATATACCTAAGATTGTAAAAAAAAAAAAATGGAATAAGCAAAATAAGTAGAACTTTCCATTAGAATCTCTGTCCTTGTGGTACATCAATAATCACTGCATCTTTATTATCAACATCAACCTGGAGAGAATCTGATCAAAAGAAGCTCAAAGGTGTAAACTAGGACAAGACAGAAATGACTTTTTTCACCTCTGTCATCATTTTCTTCTTAGCTTGTTTCATTTCCTCCTCACTGCATTTCTTGTCCACCAGTTCTTTAAGCTGCACAGCATATTCTCGCAGCTGCAAAGACAACATTAAGTCATGGGCAAGCTTGATACCAGGATGGTGGAAAGATAAGATTTTTTCATCTACCAAGGCATGACAGCGAAGGAAACATTTTGTATACATTTCTTGTGGCTGTTTCATTATTTTTTTCTTAGTTCATCATTTGGATTCTCACAAGAGATTATTTTCACAGAGTGAATGCTGAGTCTATCAGCTAATGTGGGAAGTCATTATTTAAAAATGATATAACTTGTGATATATGTATGTGATTGTATGTATAATTGTTCCATGTGAATCAGGAAAAAAACTTCAACATCATTGTCCTTTTATAACTTATGTGGTGCATGTCATGTGAAACATCCTCTTAGCACCCTCAATTTGACACTGTCTTCCATATGCATTGTGACTTTCAGTTATATGAAATTACTTAACTACTGCATGGAATGGGCCAATTATGTGCAACAACTCCCTCTTTCTTCTCAATTCCTAATGATTTCAATGCATCTCTAGCTGTTCTTACATGACTGTACAGATGTCAGTAGCTCAAGTGGGCAAGATCAGTCCATGGCAATGGACAAATTCAGTTTTAATATTCAATTCAAATGAAGCTGGGGAAAGAAAGACCCTTCAAGATGTTTCTGCATCTGGAACCCTTTCCAAATTTCCTCAACACCCCCTGACTTGAATTCCTTTTTGTCTCTGCTATATCATTAATATGTTGAATTCATAGAAAAAGTGGGGGTCATGATTTCAAACTTTGAGATCATACCATAGTTTTGTGTTTTTTATAGCATACCTTGTGATTGATTATCCTCCTGAATCTCATGGACCTGTTAGATGTAAATGCTTCAGGCCAGACTGCCTTTGGCACCAGGCCATACTTTTCCACCAGGTTGATAAGCATGTCCCACTGACCACCATCATTTAAAGGGTTGGACAAAAGAAACATCATCAATCGCCCATCAGGTTCTTCCCCTTTGCGAGCCAGTTCTTCATAAGTATTTATGAAAAAATATGACCTTTCAATTCTGTCCCAGAAGTAGAGAAACTGTTGACTAAACTCAAAGTCTTCCAGGTTAAAGTGTTGCACAAATTTTTGGCGAATTGCATTCAAAAATGCAAATATCCAGCATCGTCCAGATGCCCTTTGGTTTGTTACTGGTTTAACTTCATTGACCTGAAATATTAATAAAGTATGTATTTTATCCTTAACATCTAAAACACACTTACTCATTCACATTTCAATATATCCAACATAAAATCAAATCACACTGAACCTTTTAAAAGTCCCCTGAGTGACCAAAACAGAATTTATCCTTATAATACCAGTACAATATCAAGCAGAGAAGTGATTGGGATAAACAAAAATATAAAGAAGAGGATTATTAATTGATCTAATACAGAATTCTCCAAACTAACTCATTAAGAATTTTATGGAAGACAGTGAGGAGATAAACTAATGAGATTTTGGAAATGAAAGGGCTAAGAATTTTTATGATATAAGGCATAATGTTCCAATCTCAAAGAATGGCACCAGGAACAAAATATCTCACGAATATCTTTGTTGTTTGGAGAAAAACTCTCTTCAAAACTGGTACCTGCAACCAGTAATAAATAACTACTAATTCTGACAAAAATCCAAATTAGTGTTGAGTTTCAGGTATGAAATCTCTCCCCATCTTCATAAAAAAAAGAGTATGGGGAAAAATGCGATTTATCACAGTTGGTTGAGGGTCCTTCACAAACCTTAATGATGCAACTGACTGACTCAAATATACATCGAGTCCTAAAGAAATAATCGTGCAATGTATGCCAATCACCCAAACATCAAATCACATTCACTTCACTGGGGTTTTGATGCCTTATCTCAAATGACTCTAAAGGTACTAACAGGCATGAAAATGAGAAATTCCTGAGTGAAATTAATCCCTCAAGCAACACACATGATTACTGATAACGCAACGAACCTACGTTGGTCGTGGCCGGGAATTTCAACGAGTCAAAGTTTAAAACTAAAAAAATGGGCAATCAAAATACTTTTTAAATTAAAAAAAAATAAAAAATTTTGCAGCAGACAGTGTAAACGTGCGATTGGTTCAAAGCCAGGCGCAATAATTAAGCTACAATACTCGTATCATCCGGAACATAAATAGGTACAAACTGTACCCGAGAGCGTTCGTCCGTTTCTCTTACCTTGTGTTTGAAGACATGATTGACTGTTTCGGCCACACTTCTGTCCAGACAAACTTCGACTGGATCATATTGAGTTCCAACGTTTTGAACTACAAGATTTTGTTTTTCGCTGAGAAAAGCGTTCTGTATTTCGGACAAAAGATCCGTTTCCACCCCACTGTTCGCCATGTTTAGATCTCAAGAAAAACTTATTTTGTCTCCAGCCTTTTCCAGTCCTCTGCAGCCGTGTCAAAAAGGCTCCAAAGAAGACTGGTAATGGATGGCTATGGATTCAGATGTGGTAAGTGTTCAAGTAACGTTCTTTGATAGACCATCGTTGATACCCTTTTTTAGTTGACGACGCTAATTCGTTTGTGCTAAGAGATTATTCAGTCTTGTTTCCTAACCCATGGCTCACTTTTCTTGAAAACATAAACACATTGCTTAAATATTTTTGCTGTTCGCGAATTTATGAGTTTTACTGCAAAGGTACTTCTCGGCTGTTGAATTAAAACTCGAAATAATTACATTGGAGATAACTGATAGACAGTCTTCCCTTGAAACTTTTTTTATTGACAGAAATCTCTCTGACCCCATACGTATAAGATGATACAGACAGTCGTTTTCAAAAAAACTGCCAATGCATCTTTGCTTGCACGTTTTGAATACATTCCGCCGAAATTGTTCGCTTCCGATGCTTGGATCATGCCGTGCGCGCGGTTTTTCAAAGATCCCACTTCTACGCGACAGATCTGACTTTCAGTGTTCCCGTTGGTTCTATGATTTTTGACAGTTAGGACACATCGAGGTATAATGCCGAAGAAGCGAGTTTTATTCGATACGACTTGTACACTGTCCAAATACGAATGACTAGCATCTGCATGATGTCTTTGTTAAATGTAAACACAAAATATGCTAATTACGCTTTACACAGTAGACAAAACAATACCATGCGTTATTGACCGAGCGTGAAACAAAGATTTTCTTCGTTTTTATTAAAACACCCGAAGAGAACGGGTCTAATATCCAGTCATCTTGACCGAACAAGCTTGGTCTATAAAAGATTTATTATATTGAAAACATATTTCGCTTTAGTTAATAAGAATCAAATATGACTTGTTTGTCGCCAGAGCCGGGAAAGAAATTTAAGCCAGCTGTTTTTGTTACAGAAATAAAAAACGCGTCAAGTGCATTGTTGAGTTCTATAGGCACGTGGGAATTTTTAAGTGTGACGTAAGGTGCGTGCTCTATGCAAGGGCCTGTTCACATGAGAGTGGGGTACCCCGGGTGCCTGGGGTACCTCAGGTAGCCGGGTCGATAAAATGTTTGTTTCATATGCGTTTGATGACCCCGGGGACCTGGGGTAGGGTGCGTTTGAAGTCATTGCGTGGTTACCTAGCACGCAACACACCACGCATACACACTCAAAACAAAGATGGCGGACAGAAGACAAATTTTGGCGGCAAATGCTATTTTCCTTTCTCTGTCGTCCTTGGCAGCAGCTTTCCAGCTTTGTGGCTTGATGTTGATCTGTTTGATTATCGAACAGCGAAGAATGAGGAGAATCGGCATAGAAGTCGCAAATCAGTACGAAATCGCTGCAGCTCGCCTTAGGAACATGAAAAGAAGGCATGTTTATCGAGGGAGAGTATCGCCTTTATAGATTTCTGCTGAAGACCATCTGAAGGTTTTCGCTTTCCCTTCGAGTTCGTATTCGTATTTTGCCTTGGGGCATCCAATTCCAATGAAATCAGGGCCTGATCGGGCTGAGATGCTGCGGTCTCGCTTAAACCATCAATATCCTGACTATTTTGCCCCAAATTTGAGCTGTCAAGTATATTTTGGAGGCGTTGTTTGCGGAAAAGCTCACCAGGTTGATAACGAGTGGACGCCATTTTGTTTTCCCGCTTGTTTTTGGCGGGCTAAATTGTCGAATGCCCGTATGAACCTCACCCCGGTACCCCGGGGTATAGTGTTCACATGGAAAAAATCTACCCCACTCAGGCGGGCAACCCGCCCCGAGGAGACGGGTTGCCCGGCTGAGTGGGGTACCCCACCACGCATGTGAACGCAACCAGATAAACAACAAAGAATATATGGAGACGCTGGGAACCCCACCAAGCCGGGGTACCCCAGGCACCCGGGGTACCCCACTTCCATGTGAACAGGCCCTAAATATGACATACTCGTTCTGACCAATCAGGGCGCGCGCATTTCTCTGAACATTTTATAAAGCGCAATAAACCTACGAGAGTCCTTTTGTTTTGCTTACAAAATGCAGCGACATACTTGCGCGAGAGTGGGCGGCTGTGCTCAAAATAAGCATTTTTGAAGTTTATATAATTGTGTACCTTGGTATGGGGAAGTCTAAACCAGTTGTTACCGTTCTCGTTTAAATTTGTAACAACAATGCACTGCCCTTCAGACAGGAGACCAAAGTATAGCATCGAGTGAACGATCTAACACTACAATATATATGCTACGCTATAGTATATGAATAATTTATGCTTGGAACAACGGGAAAATTTCAGCCAACTTTTACGACAACACTGTTTCAACAACTTTTTCATGTACTAATCCGACTGAGATTAAGATTTAAGCCTTTAGCTTGCGTCTGTATTTGCAGCAAGATTTCTAAGCTTATGTATTTCGCGTCAATATTTGCGATATTCAGCACGATAAGGTTGTTCTAGGGAATAAGGCACATGAAGCCGCTTGCTTGCTCTAGAAGAAAGTAGTTAGGTCATTTGACAAAAAGATAGCAACCGAAGGAATGATGGCTCAGACAGCTATCATCGAAATAGCCCCGATAACAAACAGAAATCCGACAACGAATTGGTTCGCCTTTAAATTTTTTAGATTTGCAATCATCAACAATCCGATTGCGCCCAAATTAACATCCAACAAAGAAAGCTTGAATGCTCCATAGCTTGCACCAATGGCAACTCCAAAATTGAAAACGATCTTGTAACGAATTACGTGTATGGTTCCATTTCGAACAGCAGCGCCTGCAGTTCATAGGGGGAATCAAAGTAACGAGAAAGGTGAGAAGACCATACATGTTTAAATTCATGATGATATCTTGAGCTGCTAATGGTAGTTAGTTAACCACGCAAAGGTTTGTAGCGAAGTGATGGAAAGGCTCATAAATTATACGTAACCCTCGTATTGAAAACGAGGTAGGTGGTCATTCCGACACTATATTGTTGCATTTTGTGCACATTTATGTTGTATATTGTCATTAGAATACCATATACGCCGTGCAAATAACTTTATTAGTAACGTACAGCAGATTCCGTGCTGGAATCTGCATAATTGGCCCTCTTCGTGATGAAAGATGGTGGTAGTTCCCTTTTTGAAGTTGAACTTGTGCATTGTTCACAACAGTTGGCGGATTCCTGACCAGGATATCCTTCCCTATGTAATGCAATTAAAGTTGGCTTCTGAATGAAATCACGGATGTTGATCCTTAGCCCAGCGTAAAACGAGCATTAGACATGAAAGTGGTAAATCTTCCCAGGATCGCCTAGCAGTTTCTCCTCGACATATGATAGTTTTGAATTGAATAGGTTGCCTCAATTTATTAAAATTTCTGAAAAATATTCGACAAGCCGGTCATTCCAGTTATTTGAGAACCTTGATCGGCAGAGCGTACCAATTATCGCGAAACAAAACAAAATTGACAGTTTGCAACAAAATGTAGCTTCATTCTAACCTTAAAGCACAAAATCGTCAAAGCTTTCCAACATACAAAGCTTATTTCATGCACAAAAGATCGTTTACTCACAATTTTGTCTTCTCAGCTTGAGGTTGTTTATAATCTTAATTAAAGATTCCATTTCGATTGTCTCCGATTGCTGTATCACTTAAGTCTTTTGAGTGATGATTTATCTGTGAAAATGAAAATTTTGGCGAGAGAAGAAGGAGTTTCTTCCATAAGATGAGTGACACTTTTCCGTCGGATTGGCTTTATCACTGAGCATTTAGAGCAATGGTAATTTGAATTTGCTTATTTGTAGAGCCGGATTTCTATTCTGACTAATAATTGACAGAACTCAAACGGCTAACATATTGCATGTCGTTCCCTTGTCAAGCTGACATTCCAGTTTTGCTTGAGGGCGATTCGGCTCACTACAAAGAATTCAAGCGTGGAGAAAAGCACTGATTTTCCTTTAATTACCTTGCACCAACGACATGCCTTCCACTTTGCGTCTTTATTTTGCAAACGTTTAACCTGAGGACAAGATTACTCGACACTTTTATCTAAGCCGACAGTAGTGCATCATTTTCTTCTGTTTGTTTGTCTTGGGTTCAAGTGTTATCTTGTATTTCAACACCTTTCGTAAAATTTCTTTATTCCCTTTTCTGCGTTATCTAATACTACAAAGAGAGTTCCTTGCGTCGGTGATAAACATAACATTAATTAAAGTTTTAACGCATGGTATCTTGACTCAGTAGCTCACCACACTCAGCGAGTAATATCCCTCCGATACGGTTTGAAGTGATTCAATCGAAACGAGGCTTGCATAATCATATTCAACGAGGTTCATTCATCAAGCCATTCATTGAAACGTTGTAGCGCGTACCTCATGGTATTCTGTCATGTGGGGGCCGACTGATTACATTACGTTTCTCATATTGACACCTTTCCTTCTCGTTACACTCTCTGTGCTGATTGCCCTTTTGCTTATATGGTTATTCTTTAAGAACCATGCCAGAAGTATCCAGCGCTTCGTCCTTAAAAACGTGTTCAGCGAAATTTTCAAAGAGGAGCAGAAGGCTGATGGTTCCGGAGAGACAGTGTTTCTGTTAAAAGGCATTGATTTAGCGGCCGATAAAGAAACCTTGTCAAAGACTTTAAACGGGTTTTCGTTGTCGCTTGTTATGTTAGCCTATGTTGTGGGGACCATGTTTTGGCAGCTTCTTCTGCTCGAGGTAAGCCATAGCTGCGATGAAAACGACACAACAAGGGTTTGCTACGCACGCATCGCAGGAAAAGTTGGGCCACACGATTCTGTGAACTGCAGTAGTCCTGCCGTTCAGAATGGGACCATCCCAGTTGTCTGCTACAAACTTGTTGTCGATATTGGAGTGGCCACAGGTGCAAGCTATGGAGCATTCAAGCTTTTCTTGTTCGCCTTTAATGTGGTCACTAGTGGAATTCTTATGGTTAAAACAACAAGAGTTCTGAAAGGAATACAATGGAGCACAATGATTGTGTTGATACTAGTGAGCGTTTTGATGCTTCTAATAGCTTCAAACGTCATCCATGTAAGTATTGACTTTAAGTCGGACATCTGGGTCTTGAGCATACAGATAATACTTGTTGTGTCATCTACCAGCTTTCTCGTGTTATACCTTCCTTGGAAGGAACTCATCAGACCAAATCCAAATGAAAATAACGACGGAGGAGAGCAGGACATTGCAGAAATTTCACCAATATTGTCTTGAACAATCTGGTTCACTTTATGCTTGCATAAAAAGTTGTAAATCTGTGGGTCGTTGCATGACAAAAAAAAAACGTGACGTTATTTTGATGCAACCTCTCGTAAACACCGTAACGTTTGTAATTTGAATGGATATGTTAACGTAAACACAATCTCCCTGTAGATGACGGTTTTTAGTTACTGAAGCAGGTATCCGCAACGTTCAAAATAGTCTTCAAGGGAAGCTAGTTTTTTATTGACGAGAACAGTTGTGGGATATAATTTGCTATCGAATTCAAGTCTCAAGACAAAGCGGAATATATCAGAATGAGCACATTTCCGTGGCATGTATGTTCATGTTTATTCCGTTTGTTTTCATCTATATATTTAGTTTCAAATGTTGTTTCTCGCTTTTTATGGATATGTTAACGAAAATATAATCTCCCTGTCGATGGAGGTTTTTTATTTACTGAAGCAGGCATCCGCAACATTCAAAATAGTCTTCAAGGGAAGCTAGTTTACAAACAGCTCGTTGACGAGAACAGTTGTGAGATTTAATTAATTTGCTGTTGAATTCAAGTCACATTTCCGTGACATCTACATGTTGATATACTGTACCGTTTGTTTTCATCTATATCTCTGGTTGCAAATGATTAGAATAAAGTGCACTGATTTCATCTGAAACATTTTGCTGAGCACAGTATTATATTTGGTGCGCATTGTACGCAACGTACGGCAATACTAAACATACGCCTCGGTAGGCAAGACTTTCGTAGTAACAATTTTTTCACATGGCAGTGTGCAAGCAAGCATGCAATTACGTCAGTCGCTTCGCCAAAATTACTATAACCTGGTTGTCAACAATAAATCGCTGTGGCAAATAATGAAAAGCTTACGCATCGGATTTGCCTATATAAAGCGAATGAACTAACAGAGTTTCAATTGTAGAGGCATAAAGATATACACACTTGGAATCTTCAATCACGAGTGCAAATTCAGTATCGGAGAAACCGCGCACCTACCCCTCCCCTTGCCCAACATTAACCCAAACTTGTTATCAGTCAACTGCTGTTGGATTAGGGGATGGGTAGGTGCACAATTGCTCAGATACCGACATTCATCTGGTTTCTTTTCGTCTCATTTCCAATCAATTACAAGTATGAAAAAAACATTAAAATATATCTATTTTCAAAAAGGAAGTCTCTCAACGGAAGGCTTTGTAGCTGAAATACTATGAAAGGGAGAAGGGTCTTCCCGATACCACGCCTTTGTTTTGGTCAGTGTGACAGTTGCGGATTTCGCTGTATTAAGTTGATGTATGGAAATTCTCTCATGATCTTATTTCGAATGAGTAATGATGCAAATTGTGACTTCAAACTCTTAGCTTCGAACAAAAAATGATCACCTTGAGATTCAAGGAATATCAAGTCATTTTGGAAATAGCAAAATATTGTAAGGTTGTAATTACAAACAGCGCGTATACGTCTTCCTCATTTATACTGTCATGTCTGCAATGAAGTAAACAAAAAGAGGCAGCGAGTAGCGCCACAATAATATATAGAAATATGTCAAGTCGATATCGCTGTAATCGCGCAGTCAAAATCAAATATATCCGTATAGGGCAATTACATGCAGTTTTATTTTATCAGACTTGTGTGACCATGCCTGGGGAGCGTGACATGATTTGCAAACGGGAAGCCAACCAATCTCGAGGGTCATTTTGGCAGCTTGTCAACCTAGGCTCGAGATTGGAAGTTGATTTGTCAGAAAATCAACTTCCAGTATATTAAAATTAATAGTTTTTGTTTCAGTCTTTGTGATGGTCGTTCTTCTGACTTCACTTTCTGGTGGACGTGTGGTATTCAAATTCCTACGAAAATTCGCCGCTTTGTTAGACAGCGAAAGATTGAATTAAAAAAGGTTAAGACATCATTATTCGATAGACACGAGGCTTTAAAGGCCGATAGGCTTTCAGACTTCGACGAAGCTGCTTCTCAGGTAAGCTTTGTAACATTTAAAGCACGGTAATTTGCCTGGTTTTTATTGTTCTCGATACATCTTCCCGATTTGTATTCGGTGTTCCTAAATGAAACCTGCGATTGACGGAAGCTTGTGATGATCAAAAATAACACGCTTAAGTCTCGTTTCAAGTCTGCTCTAAACTGAGGACAATATGGCGGCAGCGATTTGTACAAGAACAAGTGCAAGTGAAATTTGTGAGAACAGTTGATTTAAGGCAACGTTTCCCTCTTAGATAAGATAACAAGAGCAATTGACAATAAAAAAAAAAGCATCTACAACATGCTGAGCGATTTCTCTGGCTTTAAAACCTTAAACGGAGTATTAATCCCTTAAGTTTAAAAACGAAATTCGCCCATGTTTTGATCTGTTCCGCGGTTAGTTAAATGAAAGGTCGACGATCCTTAATTGAAATATGTTTCTCGTCTTCCATCCAACACAAGTTTTGATGGACAAAACTTATCACTATTCTACTGTAAAAAATGACGGAAGAAACGCTGATTATATCGCGCTCGAGTTGTATTTTCAAATTGGTGAAAAGCAAGACAGACATAAACACATTCCTTTTGTTTACTTCTTAAAAAGTCACGTGAACTCCACGCGTTGAACTCATTCTCTCCTTTTATTACTTATGACAAGTGCTTTAGGAGGCAATATTAAGTTCAAAAACTTTTCATATAAAAAATAAAACGGCTTACATAAAACTTGATATTTATTTTCAAAAATAAGCCTTGCTTCAACATGCAATTTAAAGAAAGGAAGTTGTTTTTTTGGTGACATCTTTCCTCTTATGACGTTTCAGTTAAAAGTGCTTAAAATTGACGTCAGTCTCTAGGGTTAAATTAAATCATAGAGAAGGTTCCAAGCAATAGTTTGCTTTCTGTTAATAGAAAGTTTAAAAAAATCGTCGGTAACATGTAATAGGAAAGCTCTCGTTATCATTATCATCATAATTTTGCTCTTTCACGGAGTTGCCACTTATTATTTCGATATAAACGACTAAGGGGTCCTCTGTTTTCTTGGCATTTTCTGTCTCAACCCTAACCCCCGAGATCTGATTGTTAATTCTCCCCTCTAGATGCTACACATTTCTTTGTAAATAAGTTACCAGAATTTGGTGTCAGATCGAGATAACTTTGACCTGATAAGTATGAATATTTTCATGACCTGTCTGCTAGATAATGTTTAGATATTATACGGAGAAGTTAATTGTTAATTACTTCCAGGAGTTAAATGGCTAAATAACGGTAGCTGTCACACCGGTCTCCCCCTAGTAAGTTTTTTGTTTTTCTTTGCAATAAAAGCTGCTGTGTTTTATAGAGTTTAGTTGTTAGGAATTTGTAATTTTGTCTCGAAGCAGACAATTTTTCGCCGTTCAGGAAAATATTGGAACATTTTGCCTTTTGTAATTTTCGAAAACCTCACGTAAACTATCACAGACAATGAACTGGACGAACTCAATGTTATCGATAGTAGCAAAGAATTAGTTTGTTCAATTTCATGTGACATCACGTTCGGCAACGGAAGCCGTGCAGTCGATGTGGCTTTTGAGTTTTTGCAAGCTGTCAGTTTTCAAAATTTGCCTGTAAGGGGGAGGAAACGCAAGTACTATCGTGCTGACAAAAGCTAAGTTCGACAAATGTTCGGTCAGGTTGTAATTCAGCGGAATAAATTCAATATTATATTTACACACAGGATGGCGGAGGGAGGCGAAGATTACGATTCAACATCTGATCAGGACTCTGATGACCCTGTGTTTGACTCAAGTGATGGTGAAAGTGGCAGCGACGATGTCACTGAGGACTCAAGTGAAGATGACGATGTTGAGAACCTTTGTAAGAAAATTAAGAAGTTGTTCTCTGTTGTAGTATTATTGGAACGCTAATGATTTTAGAACTGAGTTTGTTTAGTGCCTCAATTATGGGTATTATATACATTCAACTCACTATCTCTTCTCTGATTGACCGAAAGCGTACCGTGAATTTTGAAACTGCGCCTGGGACGTCATTTAGCTGCAGATTATACAATAATCATGTCAATGACACCGAAGTTCACGGGTAATCATGTTATGTATGACCGCGGTGCATGATTTCTGAGGGTAACCATGTCAAGTTCGCGCGATTGGTGTTGCTTGCTGATTTGTATATTTTTAAAAGTAAATGATCGTCGCCATTTTTTTTTGTTCAATTCGGTTTTTGTGATAAGGCTTGGGATGATAACCCATGCCTCGACTTTGATTATTCTGGATATCACAACAGCCTCATACAATGATTGTTCATTAAGAGTATAGGTAATCGAATGGAGATGCGGCCTATTTCCTTTATCAAATAACTGTCAGTTGAAACATTATTATGTCTCGGCTTTCTATCAATCTTTCATTAGAATAAAGATAAAGATATAATACAACACAATATACTGAAACTTTTGCACTATTTTCAACATTTTCACCCCGAACAATCCATGCAAACATCATAAAATTGTACTTCGTTTTTGAAAGCGCGGTTCATCTCAGTTGCAAGGGGCAATTAAAATGTGGTTTCGCCACACATGATGGACTTCTCTACTACAAATAACAATCTAATGGTAATAATGAAATAATACGTTTCGTGCGGTTTCATTCCTTGCACACAAACCTTTTTTTGAAAGTGTCACTTGCGTAGAAATCTAATTTTTTATTATTGATAAAGCTGACAGTGACGGCGAAGAAGAAGAATTTCAACTGGAAGATATAGACGAAGAGCAAAGTGACGAGGATGAGGAAGGACAATCTGCTAAAGAGCCAGTGCAGCTGAATGAAGGTAAACAAGCTTGGCTCAAATCATCTTTTCGCTAGCTAACCTTTCCCGCCCCAAACAAGCACATAGAAAATAATGAGGTATATTCTGCGTCCTTCATTAGATGATTGCCCTAGTTTTTGGGAAAATAATCGCTACTCTACTAATTATAAAGTGATGGAAAAGAATTTAGTTCTATTACAAAGCATTTTTTGAACGATATCACTGGAGAAGCCGTGCTGTGGGACTCTGTACTCAAGTCGACAAGGAGAATAATTAAACTATTGAGATGATTATAAAACATTTAGTTACACCAACCTATCTGATTGACGTAGGTGGAGGACCAGAAGAGCTACCTGGGATAGGCGTTGACAAGAATGAAAAACCTCATAAATTTCCGCCTAACTTCTCCAACGTTATGCGTTTGGTCAGAAAGACTTTTTATGGCCGAGGAGTGAATACCAAGTTAGTATACAGATCGGACTGCGCTTGGTCAGCTTATATTGCAGAGCGCCCAAATGCCGTCGGAAGATCCACGGCTCAAGCCCCAGACCGGATCAATACTCAGGGTCTTAAAATAACTGAAGAGAATGTGCTGCCTTTTGTATGACATCTGCAAATGGTTAGACATTTTAGTCTTCACGGATAAGGACGATAAGTCATGAGCTCCATCTCCTGCATCTTTCCTGGGCTGGTTAGCAGGGAACGTCAGAAAGCCCACTCACTTCTCGCAGAGCGTAGGGAACGTAGCTCCCAGTGTTGTGGTCTGGCCTTGTTATTCTTTATACATTTTAAAGATCCTCATTAGTAGTTTCAAAATAGAAAGAGGTATGACAAGAATGAATGAAGAAGAAGAAAATGGCGAGTGG